CTTTTCTCAGAAGACCACCTGGCTGCCTTGCCCCAGCCATCAGAAAACCAATCAGGAGGCTAGAAGCAATTCAGAGGATCACTGAGGACAGGGCTGTGGGCTCAGAAGCGAGTGATCACCTGTCCCTGAATTCATGGGGTCCAGGGAAAGAGCCAGCACAAAAGGAGGAGGGAATCTGGGGGGCGAAAGGCAAGCGGGCTCTGACAGCCCTGAGGCAGAGGGAGGCTGGGCAGCTCTGAGTGCAGTCAGCTCAGACAACCCCAAGCTAGGAAGGAACCAGAGAGGCACCTGAGAAGTCAGTGGAATGTGCAGGTGTGCACAGGTGAGCACAAGTGTGAACAGGTGAGCACAGGTGTACACAGGTGAGCACAGGTATGCACAGGTGAGCACCGGTGTACACAGATGAGCGTGAGTGTGCAGAGGCGAGTGTGGGTGTCCACAGGCGTGTGTGAGTACACACGGGAGCATGGGTATGCACAAGTAAGCGTGGGTGTGCACAGGGAAGCATGGGTGTACATAGGGGAGTGCGGGTGAGCACAGATGTACACAGGTGAGCATGGGTATGCACAGGTGAGCATGAGTATACACAGGTGAGTGTGGGTGTGCACAGGTGAGTGTAGGTGTGCACAGGTGAGTGTACACAGGTGAGTGTGGGTGTGTACAGGTGAGTGTACACAGGTGAGTGTGGGTGTGCACAGGTGAGTGTGAGTGTGCACAAGTGAGCACAGGTTGAAGAGAAACACTTGGAGATGTGGAGGGTGACACTAAGGCCATCCCAGACTCTGGTCAGTCACTGCCACCTCCCCTGTGGAGTCAGAGGTGCCTTCGAGAACAGCTGTTCCCAGGAGGACAAACCTGAGGACACGTCCTGGGAGCACAGGCGGACAGACTTCAAAACCACGTTCAGGTTGAGAAGAGAAAAATCAGAAAGAGCTGCTAGCGGCTGTCTGTCCACCCTAAACCCTTCCTTCTCCTTCATAAAGGGCTCATGTTAAAACTGGGGACAGCAACGGTGATGGAGAGAAGACCAAAGCTGGCACGAGGGACAGGTATGACCCCCAATGTGCTGAGCGCTCAGACCATCAATGTCAGGCCATGGTGATAACGCTCACAGGTGAGATGGAAGATGCAGAGCGAGTCAGTGTAGCACCAGCGCCAGCTGCAGGCGGGCAAATAAGGATCCCTAGTCTGCAGAGACATTTCCTGACTCTGGTAGCTCTGGATTGCATCTCAGTGTCAAGAAAACAAAGGTTCTCACCACTGGACCAATAAGAACATCATGATGGATGGAGAGGAGATTCAAACTGTCAACAGCTTCATGTTACCTAGATCCACAATTAACAACCTTGGTAGCGGCAATCAGGAAATAAGGAGACACACTGCACTGGGAAATCTGCAGTTAGGGACCTTTCCAAATTATTGAGGAGTAATGATATCAGTTTGAGGACTAAGACACATTTGATTGAAACCTTTCCAATCACTTGCTGTGCATCTAAGACCTGGATAATGAACATGGATGATAGCAAAAGAATCGATGCCTTTGAGCTGAGGTGTTGGAGAAGAGTACTGAACACCCCAAGAATGGCCAGGAGAATGAACAGATATGTCCTGGAGAGGGTGCAGCTGGAGTGCTCCTTGGGGGAAAGAATGATGAGGCGTCACCTCACATACTTTGGGCATGTTGCGAGGAGGTGCTATTCGTTGGAGAAGGACATGATGCTGGGAAGGGTGGAGGGTTGGTGAAGGAGAGGAAGACCCTCAACCAGGTGGACAGACACGGTGAGTGCTGCAATGGGCTCTTGTATGTCAGGAAGCGTGAGGATGACGCAGAATAGAACAGGGTTCAGATCTGTTGTTCATACAGTCACTATGAGTTCTACTTGACTCGATGACAACTAACAACAACAACTACAACTGGTAGCTTAGTGGTAAGGAGTAGAGCTGCCAATTCAAAGGCACACAGTTCAAATTTACCAGCTGCTCCAAAGGAGAGGGATGGGCAATCTCCACCCATTCAATTTACTGTTTCTAAGAACCCACTGGAGGACAGACTGGCCTGGACAGGGCAGGGGGTGCAGTATGTGGACCCCAGACTGGGCACCCAGCAACAGCTCCAGCTTTCTACGCAGACCAGGGCCAAGTCCCAGACGCTGGCTCCATCCTCAGCCTCCAGCCATCGAGCTCGGCTCCAACAGCTGAGGTCTGTTCCTGGAATAGGAACCATCTCTGTTTTTCCTAAAATACGCTTCAATGGTTTCAAGGTTGGTCAGTGTTTTGCTCATGTTTGAGGGAACTATGGAAAAACTTGCACATGGCAGAGAACGGAGTGTAATGGGAACAGAGTGGGGTTGCCTGGGGTACCCGTCCTGGCTCCCACAAGGCCTAGCAGCTGTATTCTCACTGAGGTGGCCCAGGGCCTTGCAGGGGTACCCTGCGTTCATGGGGGATGTCATGGTGGGAGAGGATGAGCTGGGGGCCCAGGGTGCAAGCTTGGTGGCCTTGGTGATGTCACCCTGTGCTTCTGGTCATTGAATGATGTGATCATTAGATCAAATGTTAAGCTCCTGGGGGTGGGAGGGGGATGTGCATCCAAGATTTAGAGTGTTGCTGTTTGCTGGCATGCTACAACTGACCTCCAGTGGGTTTTCAGAGGCTCTAGAGCTGTGGTTTTGGAGAAGAGTACTGAATACACACCATGGACTGCTAGGAGAACAAACAAGTTCGTCCTGGAGAGGGTGAAGCCAGGCTGCTCCTTGGAGGCAAGGATTCTAAGGCTTCCTCTGACATATTTTGGACATGTTGTAAGGAGGGACCAATCCTTGGAGAGGGATGTCATGCTTGGGAGGGTGGAGGGACTGTGCAGGAGAGGAGGACCCTCTATGAGGTGGATTGATTCTATCACTGGGGTAAAGAGGATAGGTGTATCAGAGACAATAAGACTGGCAAAGGATAGAGCAGGGTTTACGGCTGTTGTACAGAGGGTCACTATGCACGTGACTTGACAGCACATTAACAACAACAACAACAAATTGCATGGGAGGAGACTGGCCATCTTTCACCCATGGAGCAGCTGCGGGATTCAAACTGTGTGCTTTTGGGACTGCAGTGCAGCTTCTCACCACTAGCCCACCAGAGCTCCCTAATAAGTGTGGAGAGCTTAATTTTAAAGGACCACTCATAGTGCCTGCCTAGCAAAACGGTTCTTGTGACGATGGCTGAGACGGACATTGGGGTGTTCCTGTTGCCAACGAGACCCCAGGGCTTTCTGTAAAACACACTTACAGAAACGACGGAGATTTTCAGCGGGACGCAGGAGGAAGTGCACGACCACAGCAAACAAGAACAGGACTGAGCACCTCCAATAGGAACTGAATACCCTTCACGCTCTAAAGTCCCTGGGTGGCGCACCTGGTTAATGTGCTCACATCCAAGAGGCTGAATCCACCCAGAGGTGCAGGGAATGAAAGGCCTGGTAATGTCCTGCGGAGAAACCAGCCCCTGCAAGCCCTGGGCGCCCAGTCTACTCTGACGCGGAGTCACCGTGAACAGTTACCACTCTGTGGCAGCTAAGTAGTATAAACACTATGTCCCTACATGATTGAGGTTTTCTACAGTTTCTTTTGCTACTGAAATACTCTGGGCATGGTGCTAGGAGGGACCGGTCCTTGGAGAGGGATGTCATGCTTGGGAGGGTGGAGGGACAGCACAGGAGAGAAAGACCCTGGATGAGATGTACTGATTCAGCGGCTGGGGTAATGGGGGTAGGTGTGTCGTCGGAGACAATGAGGTTGACATAGGATAGAGCAGGGGCCAGAGCTGTATGTAGTGCAGAGAGGGCCGCCACGAATCACACCGAACAACTGTCACTAAGCTAGTCTGTGGGGAGTTGGGGAGTCGCACAGCTAACCCAAAGGTACTGTCTCTCTGGAGGTTCAACTCTCACAGCACCCCCAAAGCAGAAAGATGGGTACTCTCTCCGCCTGAGGGATTTACAACCTCTGAAACACAGCGGAGGGCCAGCAAGGAGCCAGCTGGGTTTAATGGCACCGAGGTTTACTGCCCACGGGCTTTACAGACAGGCTAAATAAAGAACCATGCACTCTGGATGACAGAGCTCGGAGATGCCCTCTGAATGTGACTCTGGACGTGGGAGGTGCTCACGGCGGTGCAGGAGGGGAAGGTGGTCACCAGGCTGTGTGGACTTCTAGGTGGGCTCCCCATCCCGGGTCACGTCCACCCCTGCTCACAGCTGTGTCCAGGGGGTGCTCGCTAAGTATCTGCTCATGATCAGCAGGGAGTCAGCACCCAGGTAAAAGCGAGACGGTGAGGAACACCCTCACGGGAGACAGAGGCCCGCTGGCTGCTCCGGAGAAGGACAAGGTGGACACAGGGCAGACGACGGGGGTGTAACAAGGGGCTGGAGACGACCCAGCAAGACAACGCGGTAACCACGCAGGCCCCCGGCCCTCCTCAACCCCACACAGTCCTTCAGACCTGGGGAAGGAAACTCTACCTCACACACTTCTACATGGAGAAGAGTTTAGATCTAAGGTTCAAATCCTCAAATGAAAATCCTGACGTGAACAGCAGAGCGATTTCCCAACACTTAAGTAGCAGGAGGATGGACAGTCTCCCCTGACGTGATTTTTTGTTGTTGTTGATTGCCTTCGAGTCGAGCAGGACCTACAGTGACCCTATGAACAAATGGCCTGAAGCCCCTCTACAACTATTGACATTTATCAAAGTTCATAGAGTTTCTGGAGGCATGTGGTTTGGGAAGTGGATGCCTCTCCCACTTCCACGTGATTTACTGCCTCTGAAAACCCACAGGAGGGTCAGCTGTGGGCTGGGTCTGACTCGATGGCAAACAAGAAGAAGAAGAAGAAGGAGTTATTCGAGAGAGAACTCGAGGCAGGTTAACTTCTTAGCGCCATTAAGGTGTTTCAGGAGGTGGCTGGTTAAGTCCAGGATTCTGCCTGGGCATGGGCCTCTCCTCTTACCGTCAGTGACAAGGCCATGCAGATGAAGGTGAACTTCTTGATGTGGGCTGCGGTCACGGTGCTGCTGGAACTCACCATCTTGTTGCTTGGATTGTTCTGGAGGATGGAAGAAAAGGACAGTGGTGACTGGCCTGGGGGTGGTCCTCGGCTGACAGCCAGAGACTCTGAAAGGGCGGCTCACCCTCGTGTCCTCTGCTGTGTCTCAGTGCAGACTGCAAAGAGCAGCTCTGCAGATGGTTGGCAGGCTTCTTTGGTCCCTGAGCATTCATGGGGAGGAAACCCCCGAACCAGGCCCCTCCCCAGAGCCCAGCTGCCAGTGCTGCCTTTTCCAGGAAGCCTGCGTCCTGTTCCATGTGTCCCCTCCTGGCCCCCCAGATCTCATGTCCTAACACGACGGCCAATTTCCTCAAAGCCAAGGCCCTTCCTAGTGACGGTGGGGCCTCTATCTCCCTCCGAAGTGGCCTGAGGTGGGCTCCAGCCCCATGCCCTCGTGCCTGGCTCTGCTCCTCCCCTGCTCATTTCTACTTCATCTGTTCTGCTTCCCTGGGGGCTCCTGACATGCACACACACATCCCTCACCCAGGCCCATCTGTTCCCGCAGCCTTTTCCCCTGCCCCCCAGGCTGGCTCTGTCCCCCACTCTCCGCTATGTCTGCTGTCCCCAGCTTCCCTGAGGGCGGCCCTCACAGCACTGCAGTCACTGGGCCACGTGCTCTACTCCCAAGAGGCTCCCCGTGAGGCTGGGTCCCACTCAGTCCTTTGCACACTTTTTTCCTGAGCAAAGAAAGGGCTCAAAAGGCATCTGTGACTTCTAAGCCAAATAAGGCGGATGGCTTTGGAGAATGCTGTCTTTCCAGGCCCAAGGCCATCTTGGATCTCTCTCGGATCCACGGGAGGGGAGCGCACCCAGCTCCCCAGCACCTGGGCCTCAGCCGTGTGGTGAGCAAACCACCTATCTCATTAGGGATCCAATTAGGCCCTGGGCTGACTGACAAACAAGCCTGCACCTGGCTCTGCACAGCCGGGGAAGGGCCACCTGCAGTGAGTGCGGAGCCATTGGGGGGAAAATGCTTTGGCTGGGCCTTGACTGCAAGGAGTCGCTGTGGCACGGTGGTTAGAGGGGCTTGGATGTTAACGGAAAGCTCCACAGTTCAAGCCCACTGGCCATCCCTCAGAGAAGGCTGTGACAGGCCTGTAAAGGCTGCCTCACAGGGTCGCTGGGCATCAACAGTGGTCTCAGGGGCTGAGGGGACCATTCTACTCCCTCCCCTTGGAGGGGGCAAGCCTCTCAGTGGATTGACATCTGAACTCTAGCCCCTAGGAGGGAGCCCAGGCTCAAAGGCACGTGGTTTGCCTCTGCCAGCAGCTCCCTGGGAGAAAGATGGGCAGTCTCACTCTGTATAATTTACTGCCTCTGGAAACTAGTTTTGACTCAGTGGCAATGAGTTTTGTCTTTGGGGCAAATTCCTTGATGGTGCAAAGGGTTTCTCGTCTTTGAACACACCAATTTGCTCCGATAATGTTTACAGCCAGGCAGTTAGTTCTACACTGTTAACACGGGGGTCTCCTGGGTGGGATCCGGCCTGATGGCTGCCAGTAACCACAGCCTCCAGAACACACCCATCTTCTGAAGGACAGGGGGCACCTTGCCCTTCAGCGTGAAGACCCTGAGGGCAGGACACTCCCCCACCAGGAGCCTCGGGGGTGGCAGCCGCCTGGGGTCACAAAGACCCACGTGCACCCCAGTAAGGAGATACTGAGATGGCTCCTTCAGGAGGGCTGCTTGGTTTAAAACAGCAAATGTCCCTGCAAACGTGGCTGGATCACGCAAAATGCACTGCTGGTCAACTGATCAATGTCTGCGCTCAGGCCGTGTGCTTCTGCATTGTCCCAGGTGCTGAGGATGAGGACATTCACACCAGAAGCAGCCCTCTCACTACATCTTAGCTAGAATCCTCAGAAGTTAGACGGGAAAGTTGAAATCCCTCGGTACGGGCCTGCAAAGGGATCAAGGCTTTCAACCATCAAGTACAGCCAGTTCTGGGGGTGATGGCGGGCCCCAAAGCCAATCTACTGCCAGCTGCAAATCCTCAATGGAAGAGATGGGTCTCATCTTTCTCCTGAAAGATGGCTGGTGTATTCAAACTGCCGACTTTTTGGTCAGAAGCTCAACGTGAGAGTCTCTACACCACCTGGGCTCCTTGGGAGGGTACACAGGGGTCTGGAAGGCCGGCCGGTGGCCAGCACTCACCAGGTGGCCTGCTGCAGCCCTGGAAACAGAGGGTGGCACCTTCAAAGGATTCTGAGAACTTGAGTTTCTGGCTACAGGTAGCTCATTAAGTGGATCTTTTTTTGGTCACGCCTAACCACCACCACGGTCGTGAATAAAACAATGTTTTTCTTGGAGGTGTCTTCTGAGACTGTACAGTGCTGTATTGTTAAGTTTTATTATTTCGTGGAAGCCAAGCCCAACTGAAGCTGTGAGTTTTATAGCCAGGAGAGTGCAAGGCTCTAGTACCTGCTATTCTCTTCAAGTTTTACCATATACATGCAGTCCCTGGGTGACAAACACCTGAGCCACTTACAGCCTGCATTTATGAGGCAACCCTATTATAATAGGAATTCAAGGTACCTATAAGGGTCCATAGCAACAAAAGGCCACTGTCTTGCCAGTGCATCAAAATGACACTATTAATTGACATTGTGTACTGTGAGAGATGTTCTAATGTATGTGAAAATGTTACTTTAATGTTCTTATGCAAATGTTAAGTGTATAATGTTCTTACACAGTGTATACTATCTACTGAGACCAGCAGTTGAGTAAATAACACTAGATACAAAGTGTTTCTAAGTGTTACAACTTATGTATAACTCTCCCGGACCTACAGCATTGCAAAAGAGAACTGAATATCCCATGGGCTGCCAAAAAAACAGATGTCTTAGAAAAAGTGCAGCCAGAGTGCTCCTTGGAAGCAAAGATTAGATAAAGTTTTGTCTCACATACTCTGGGCCTGTTGCTGGGCAAGACTATTCCTTGGAGATGGACATCATGCTTGGAAAAGGAAGGAGGGCAAAAGAGAGGAAGACCCTCAACCAGGTGAACTGACACAGTGACTGTGGAAATAGGCTTGAGTGTATCAGATTGTGAAGATGGCACAGGATAAGCCAGGGTTCATATCTGTTGTTCACAGGGTCACTATGGACTATGTTTGACTCAACGCCATCTAACAACAACAATAATGTGAAGTCAGACTTGGGAACCAAACATGTTTGTGGCAATGACATCCTCCAAGAGCTGGAACTGACATTTAGCAGGAATCCCTATATCCAATTTGACTTGCTAGCATTTTCTACTATACTCATGCTCTTTAAAAAGAAAATAATTCTGTCACGAGACTGAATGTAACTCGCTCAAACACGGAGGGTCAGCTCTCTGGCCTGGGCACCTGACCTCCATCCCCTTTAGGTCTGTAAGGCAGGCATTGATTTTTCAAGTACTGTTCACAGCAGGTAAACTTGCACACACTCGCTGGAGGCCCCCCCACAGCGAACCCTGGGCAATCACTGCGGTAGCTCAGGCGAAGCTGCAGGGTGGGAATTCCTGATGGGTGTGGAGGTGAGGGGAGCCTGCATGGCTGAGGAGGGGCTGAGAAGGAGGAGGAAGTTGATGGGGATGAAGATGAGAGCTGCATGGGGGCTGGATGACACAGCAGAGTGCTGCAGATAGGAAAGGGTGAGAGAGGCTGCGTGTGTGTCCATTTACATGAAGGTGTGTGAGCAGGGGTACTATCCCCGGAGGCCCTGGGAGCAGACAGGGGAGAACACATCTTTCCAGGCCTGACTCCATCCCATCCTGTTAGCTGACCTTGGTTCAGGGGGGAAGGCAGGGAAGGGGACAAGCCTCACATCCCTGACAGCTGGGAGTGGCCCAGAGGCTGGTGACGGTGTGGAGGAGAATGGCCACCATTGGCAGCTGGCCAGGCAGGATGTGACTTTAAGGGGGTCATGTGCCTGTAGGGTGTTTGGAGTCGAGAAGAGGGGGACCTGGAAGGAGCTCAGAGCCAGGAGGGCCCCAGGTCCTTGGTGGGACCTCAGGAGAGACCTCCTTGCTTAGATGCATGGGCTCTTGTTGGGAGCAGACACACTAGTCCTGCATTAGTTCTACAGACCCTCAAGGCAAAGCAGTTGTTACACACAGCAAAGGCATCTTTCCTCATGTCCAATAGACATGGATAATTTGTGGGCTTTCTGCATACTATGTCCTTCATTCTAGGCTACACATCTATAGGTCAAGCAATGCAACATTTGCCAAGAGGCCAGAAGAATAGCACATTGGTCCACAGGCACAGGTGGGTTACCTGCCACCCTGAGCTTGCTGTTACAGGGCTCGGGGACAGAACCGCCGCTCACTTGCCTATAGGCTGGGGGACCCCTGCCAGCCTCGGGCTTGTGTCATGATGAGGTGTGTGGGCATGCACCCCCACACCAGATGAGACACTCAAACCCCTGAAATTCAGCTGGAGCATTGGCTATGTCGTCAGCGAACTGTTCCCCAGGCTTAAAAAAAACCACAGAAGCGGAATCTGATACATTCAAATCCAAGTTCAGGGAGCCTGCCTCCCCTGGTGCACACGCAGGCCTCAGCTGGGGCTAAAGGGAATGTCAGTTAGGAAATGGATGACGGAAGCAGCCTCAACGCCAGCCCAGAGCTGCACTTGCTCGTTTCTGGAGGTAAATATCCCCCAGGCCCCTTCAATGTCGCCAGCACCTGCCTTAGGGAGGTGAGGCTGAGAGCTGCCCCTGCCCCTCACCGGCCGTGCCAACACCAGGTGTCACCTCCCCTGTGTCCCCGACGTCCCACTACACCAGGCAGTGCTCACCTTGTCAAAAGCGGGATAGACGGCGCGGATCTCCGTCAACCAGCCGTATGGCATGTGCCCCACAGGGTACGTCGCTGTCAAAATCGCCACCGCCTGTAACAGGGAGAGACGGTGGAGTCAGCGTCCACGCCAGAGGGACAGCCACCCAGGGTCAGCTGTGTGACAGCAAATGGTGTGGGCACAGCAGGCAGCCCCTCCTGCCCGTGGTGCTGGGTGGGGGGCTGGGGGCGTAATGCTAAAACAGAGCTGAATTCTGGGGCGCAGATGCGGGCTGTGCCAGTGGGAGGGCCCTCTGAGAACAAGGACGCGTCTGGCAGTATAGAAACCTAATGAGAAACAGGCCCCACAGGCCTGCACAGAAGCTGAGACTTTAGCCCCGTCCAACTGGGTGTCTCTGTTCACCCTGTGCTGCAAATCCACGCCCCCCCACCCCAGGCTGGGCCCATGCTGGACTCTCAGAGCGAGCCCTCCCCTCTGTCCGACCACCCGGCCTCAGGTCCACCTCTGTGCCCGCATCCCCTCCTCAGGGGAGCTGAGCTTGGCTATGCTTCTCGATAGCCCCGTGGTGGTCCCAGCTCAAATGCCCTGCTGACCAGTTCACATCAGAAAGGCCCACTAATTTGTCATTTAGGAAAATTATAAGTATGCCTTGGAAAAAGGTGCAGCCGGAGTGCTTCTTGGAGGCCAGGAGGGCAAAGCTTCGACTCTCATACTTTGGGCGTGTTGCTAGGAGAGGCTAGACTATTCCTTGGGAAGGGACATCATTCTTGGCAAGGTGGAGGGTCAGTGAACGGGAGGAAGACTCTGAACAAGACGGACTGCCACAGTGACCGCAGAGATGGGCTCAAGTGTGTCAGAGATGATGAGGACGGCACAGGCTAGGACAGGGCTCAGATCTGCTGTTCAGAGGGTCACTACGAGTCATACTTGACTCGAGGGCACCTAATAACACAGCAGCAGCAAGAACATGATGTCCCCTACTCCCTGCCCATGAAGAGGAGAGAGAAGCTTCTTTACCTAGGTGACTTTAAAACAAAAGCCCAGGCGAGCTTGGGTGGCCTAATGGCAAGAAGCTGTGCTGCAATCCTAAAGGCATGCAGTTCAAATCCACCAGATGCTCCTCTGGAGGAGAGGCAATCTCCTCCTATGCAAGTCACATCTGACTCAATGGTATGCAACAACCATAAAACAAAAGCCCACCTTTTGGCACCGTTCTACTCTGTCAGTGGTCAGCAAAGGGGTGAGTGTGGGCCTCATAATTTAATTTTGAAGGGCCAGGAGCAGCAGGAAAGAGCCTGCAGTGGGCAGAGGACTTGCTGGAGAGGTGTGGGGGCAGTGAAAGAGAGGAGGAACCTGGACCCAGAACTCCGTCCTCTTCATCACCTCCAGCAACGTGGTGCCCGATACCTTTGAGACCTCTCACAGCTCAGGGGAACGATGAGAATAATGACATGGAGATGCAGGACATACACACGAGCCGTGTGCACGCGCGTGTGTGTGTGTGTGGGGTGTGTGTGTGTGTGTGTGTGCGTGTGTGTGTCCCGACGTGTCAGCACTCCACCTACATGACCTCAAAGGCCCTGAGACCAGTGGAGAAGCTGCTTCAGGGGAGGATGGGACTCAGGCACACAGACGGTGCAGAAGCCACCCAAGAAGACAGTCACCATTCAGAGAAGTCAACTGAGGCAAGGGTGTGCGTTCTGCTTTTGATGATGTGCAAACAGGCTTCTCCTGGTGAGGGTCAAGCCAGGTTGCTCCTTGGTGCCAAGGATTTAGAAACTCTGCCTCACAGACTTTAGATATGCTGCCAGGAGGGCCAGTCCCTGGATACGGAAGGACATCATGCTTGGATGGGTAGAGGGTCAGTGCCGAAGAGGAAGACCCCGGATGAGACAGACTGACTCAGTGTCTGGGGCAATGGGGTCAAGTGTGTCAGAGATGGTGAGGCTGGCTCAGGCTAGGGCAGAGTTCAGAGCTATTGTTTACAGGGTCACTGTAAGTCTTAAGTGATTCAACAGCTCATAGTAATAACCACCACCACCAACTCCTTCCAAGCCAGAAAGAGCTGCTTCCCAGGACGCGGAAACTGGCAGGGGCCTCAGGAGGAGATCTGCTGGTGCTGTGTTTGTCGAGCATCTCTGGGTAAACAGAGGGCAAGATGAACAGGCCCAGGACAGAGCAGACTGCAGAGGGTACCACGAGAGGAGGCCAGGGCCGGCATCCTGCTTGTTCACGCCCTGTGTGATGGAGGGGACTCCACTTTCTCTTCAGAGAGGCTGCCAGTTTTTGGAGCGATGTGGGCAGAGAGAAGTTCCTCAGGTGAGTGAGGACAGACTGCTGAAGACCCCATGAAGTGACGGTGCGGGGGTCGGTGGGTGGTAGTGGTGCTGTGGACAGGTGTGCACAGACGGCGAGGAGGCTGGGCTCCGATGAGGCCCTGGCCTCCACTCACTCGGCATCTCTGCTGTGTGTCGCCGAGCCCAGGGGTGAGAAGCTGCGTCCATGGAAAACGCGGACAGGTCTTTGGGAGGGAGACTGAGGAATTGCCTCGTCAGTCTAACCTAGCTTTTCTTTAGTTCCAGTTCCTTAACCTAGCTGTCTAGAAAGCAAATCATGAGGGACCCCTGGTGGCCTCCTGGCAAGAAGTTGTGCTGCAATCCCAAAGGCATGCGGTTTGAATCCACCAGATGCTCTGCTGGAGACGGAGGAGGGGCAATCTCCTCCTGTGCCAGCTGGATCCTACTCAACGGCACACAACAACAACAACAACAAAGTGTAAAAAAAAAAAATAGAAAAGAAAGCAAATAATGTAACCCAACAGACAAATCTGCTGCCAGGACCTCTTTAAAGACCAAGGTGCCCGTGAGGCAGGCCGTGGTCTTTTCTGTTGCTACATACACATGTGAGAGCTGGGCAGTGAATAAGGAAGATCAAAGAGGAACTGAAGTTTCTGAACCGTGGTCAAGAATAGTGAATATACCAAACATGACTACTGTTGTTGCGTGGTGCCAAATCAGAACCCACCCCAGCTGACCCTCCAGTGGTCTGTGGAGGCTGTAAACTGCTTGGGAGGAGACTGTCCATCCTCCTCCCACAGGGCAGCTGGTGGATTCGAACTGTGCCTTCGGGACTGTGGCGCAGCTTCTCACCAGCAGGCCACCAGTCGGTCTTAGGGGTGCATCCAGAATGTTCCACAGGAACAAGATGACAAAACTTCGCCTCACATGCTTTGAGTATGTTCTTAGGAGGGGCCAGGCCCTGGAGAACGACCTCATGCTTGCAAAGGCCGAGGGTCAGAAAAGAGGGGATCTTCAAGGCCATGGGACGACGCAGTGGCTGTGACAACGGTCTGAGGCCCAGCAGGGACTTGAGGACGGCGTCGAGCTGACCGGAGTCTGGCTCTGTCGTATGTGGGGTCACTGGGCTGGAGCTCACTGGTCACACCTAACAACCACACAGGAGCCTTTCCACACCTCTGCTTCCTCACACAGTAAACGGGAAGGTTGGCCTGCATGTTTTCTTCCTCATCACGTGAGCTGGGAACACACTTAATGAGGCCGTCACGGCTTCCTCCTGTGAACGTGCCCCAGGACCTAACATCTTGCTGAGCTGTGAGGGTCAGTGGGAACCACCTTTGTAAACCCTGACCCCCCCCCCACAGGCACCCAGGGCCCCGGCAGCGGCCTACCTCCGTCGCTGCAGAACTGCCTCCGAGGTCTCGGGACACGAAGAGGTTGACGATGGGCCGGCTGATCCTCTGCGTGGCCAGGATGAGAGCCAGCGGCCACCAGAAGCTCAGCATCTTCCTGATCGTGGCATCTCCCTGCAGCGAGAAAGGAGGCCCGTGCGCCCTCAGCTCTCGGCGCAGCAAGGAGAGAGCAGCCCAGAAGCACAGAGCTCGCTCTCTGTTCGGTCAGCCAGCAGCCAGGTCACTACACTTTAACATAAACATTGGAAAAGTCCCCAAAACCCTTTACGCTCATTGCTGTGGGGTTGGGACTTACCACTGACCCTCTAGTGAGATCTGGGAATGTCTCAGTGATAAGGAGTTGCAACCCAGAGGTATGTAGTTCAAGCTCACCAGCTGCTCTGTGGGAGAAGGATGGGCAATCTTCTCCTGTGCAATTAGCGGCCTTTGAAAACCCACGGGAGGGTCAGCTAAGGGTCAGTTCTGCCTCAATGTACACAATACATTATACTGCATGACAGAGGACGGCCCATCTTTCTCCTGAGAGCAGCTGGTGGATCTGAACCACCCGCCTTTGGATTGTCAGTGCAACTCTTTACCCATCAGGCCCCCCAAGTGGAATGGAAAGAAACTGCAGAGCTTTATAAGAGATTAACTCAGACCTCCTGGCAAGTGACTGTGAAGTCAAAACACACAGGCGAGCTTGATGGACACGGGCCACTGTTCCTGGTAGCAGGGGGCTTTAATGAAGGCAGGGCCCACGGCCTGGGGCTGGGAAACAGGTCTGCAATTAGCTTTTGTTCAAGTCATCAAACAGACTGGCCGGAAGCCAGCTGGTAAGAGGGGACTCTTGGAAATGATAAAAAAAAAAAAAGGATTGCAATTTATTTTGGAATCAACAGGCTCCCGTAACTGTGCCCAACTGTGTGGGCAGCAAATGCACCCACTACCATGCTTGCTGCTCTCAAAGGTCTCGCAGGAGCCGCACGAACAGGTCAGGAGAACAAGCAAAATAAAACGCGAGGCAAAGGAGAAGCTGTTTCGCTCCCCAGTGCAGTTCTATGTCCTCACGAAGGGGGAAGTTACCTCATGGAACCACCGACGCGGGTTCACTTTATAACCCTTTGCTGCTGATGGTGAGAGATGGCTTGTCAGAGCAATTGGATGTGGCTGTCCCCGTGATGGAAATAACTAGATGGGGTTTTATTGATGGCCTGGCTGTGGCTGGGGGTAGGCGGTCAATACAATTACTGTAGTGACATGATGGACACAGCATGTGGTCAGAGGTGGCGCCCAGGGGGTGGAGGGGGGGTGATTTATTTAGGGGTGGGATCATCATTCATGTCGGCCTTGGAGCTGGATGGGAGCAAAGACTGCCTAGTAATGGTGGGTGGAAGAAACTGGCAAACCTACGGATCAGGAACCCCTAACATCATCATGAAAAGGACGCTGTGGCCACATAAGCAGGAGCAGGCCTTCTCGTAGCCCATTCAATGCTGGAGGCAGGAGTCAAGTTCAATGTCCTCCGGGGGCACCTCTCAGCCCAGCAGCTCCTGGAGCCTCAATGCCCTTGACATCTAGCCTTGGCGGTCATCTCTAACTGTCCCTTCTGTGTTGGCCTCATGTGCTAAATGAGACTTTAGGCTACTTAGGGTTGTTGTTGTGTGCCATCAAGTCAGAACCAACCCACAGCTGTCTCTCCATCAGGTTTTCAGAGGTGGTACATGGCACAGGAGGAGACTGCCCATTTGTACCCAAAGATACTGTATCTTAAGATATTCTGTGTCATAAGGTCTATAACGCTGTGCCTGGTCCACAGACAGCAACTGAATTAAGACAGTAAGATGTTACGCTGCAATTGCAAAGGCACATGGTTCAAGTCCACCAGCGGCTGTAAGAAATCTCCTCCTGCCTGATTTACTGCCTCTGACAAGCTGCTGGAAGGTCAACTACGGGTTGGTTCCAGCCTGTGGAACGTAGCAGTGCATCCAAAGTATAAACTAAGCCAGGATGCCTGCTGCGAAATGCAAAAGGTAGGAAACGTAAATTCACAGATATGAGGCTATTAAAACAATTATTTTTGACTACAGAAGTATTTACTTTTGACAAGAGGAGGGTGAACACAGTTTCTACTCTCCATCTGACGTGACTCGCTCTCTGTCTTGCATATGGAGAGCAGGGCAATGCCTCCGGGGACTGCTTCTGCTGGAGAAGCCTCATCAGTTCTCCAGCCCTCCTTCTGTGGACAGGCCCCAGGCCCCAGCTCTGGGTCTGCCTCTCTAGGACCCAGGGGCTGCAGTGTTTATTCTGAGTGCGCGGGGAGGCAGCTGTCCCCACGGCCTGGCAAGACTCACCCCCAGCTCCGGCCCGCTGTGATCGGGGATGATGTCGTGAATGTTCCTGTAGTAACCCAGGCACAGGGTGGTACAGCGGACGAGGGCACCCATGTACAGGGACAGGATTGGAATCAGCAGAGGCTCTCTGCATTCCAGGTGACTGTGCAGCAGAATGGCTACGAAAACGACCTGCAGGACAAGATGGTGGGGATACAGCATGGGGCTAATTAAAGGCCTCCGAGGCACTCAGCTTCTCTCTCTCTCTCACACACACACACACAGACAGACAGACAGACAGGCGCGCGTGCGCACACACACACACACACACACACACACACACACACACATTCAGGGTAAAGATGCGTCAAGAGTAACATTTAGCATACACCAAACATAAAATGAAAAACTCAGGTCCTTATGATGTGAGACTGAAAACCAGCTGTGTGAAAAATAAAGGAAGATCAACCTTCCTCTGTTGAGTCTAGAAAGGCTCCCAGAGGCGAGGTGTCAGAGGTGGGATCCACAAGACAGCCCCGACCAGAAGGACCAAGGAGGAGCATGAGAGCTAGAAGGAGAGCTGTGTGGGGATGACGTGACAGTGGCCGGAGATCACAGAGGCTGGGAAAGTCAGGGGTAAACAGTCTCCTTCAAAGGTTAGCCTGCAGCCCCAGGTTCCGGCACGAGTGAGCAGGGCCCTGCTGGGGAAACACAGGTTCTCGGCAGATGTTACAGGTTAGTGAAGTCAGCCTGGAGTGGTGTTGCGATGTGCCGTTGAGACGATTACAACCCATAGTGACTCTATGAACAAAAGCTCTGAACCCTGCCCTCTCCTGAGCCAACCTGCCTCTGACATATCTCACCTCACTGCCACAGTCACTATGTCAATTCATCTTCTTGAAGGTCTTCCTCTCTTGTGCTGACCTTCCACCTTTCTAAGCATGATGATGTCCTTCTCCAAGGACTGGTTCCTCCTGGCAACATGCCCAAAGTCTGAGAAGGCCCTTCAGAATCCTTGCCTCCAAGGAGCAACATAGTTTCACCCTCTCCAGGGTGAACCTGTTCGTTCTCTTGGCAGTCTTGGAGTAGAGGGATTCTAACCCAGTCTTCTCTGAGTGGTGTCTTAGAAAGAGAATAGACACAGGAAGACAGCTGCCCTGTGATGATGGAGGTGTCACTGAGCAGCAAAGGAATGCTAAGGGAGAAGAGGCGAGGTAAGGAATACTGGAAGGGAGACAGGGGAGGTGTGGACAACTCCTCGCTCTGGCCCCAGAAGGAACGGACAGGGCTGACACCCTACCAAAGACCTGTGATGTACTACAGCCCCCGGGCTGTGAGACCACGGCTCTTTTGAAGCCACCCAGTTCATGGGCCTTTTAAAAAGGCAGCTCTGTGAGACTAAGACAGGCAGGAGCTCCCCCAAAGTTAAGCTTTCACCAGTTTCTCCCAGTTTGATAGCTGGTTTTATAGCTTCACCAGGAATCATACTATTAATTAATTTAAACTCACACTTGTGGAGGGAGTGTCTCTTGAATTAAGATTCTGAATCAAAGAGCTGTATTGACAATGTACTGCTTCTTTCTTGGGGGACACCTCCTATCTTGGGGTGAGGGTTTTCCTGGTGACAGTGTGAGGAGCCAGGCATCCTCTTGGGCCATGGAAAGTCTACCCTGGAGATGCTCTCAGAGCTGGAGGTCCCAGGGGGAGGGCAAGGTGGACACGGTACTCAGATGTCAGCTCATGTCTGTGGTGAGGTCAGAGTGTGACAGTGGGGTAGGGGCAAGTGGTGGAGGTGGGACAGCTTCTTGTGCAGAAGGCATGGGGTGAACAGCAGCCCTGAAAAAGATATGCCCATGGCCTCACTCTTAGGCCCCAGGAACGTGACCTTATTTAGGTTAAAGGTCCAGGTATAGTTACGGGTTTGAGATGAGGTCAGCCTGGAGTTTGGGTAGGCACCGTATCTAACGGCAGGCGTGTTCACAAGGGAAAGGCAGAGGAAGGCCGGGGGCACAGACACCCCCAGGATAAGGCCATGTGAAGGAGGGGGCAGTGGGCTGAGAGATGCAGCCACAGAATGAGCTGGGTGGGGGCACAGAAGAGCCTCTCCCTCAGAGCTGACCTTGCCAACACCCTGAATTTGGACGTCCAGCCTCCAGAATTAAGGGGACACGTTTCTGTCATAAGGCACGGAGCTGTGAGGAGCCCTCAGCCTGAGGGTCCGCAGTGGTTAAGGAGAAGCTCCAAAGGCTGCCTTTGGCCTCACTGCTGGCCAGCTGGGCATCTACTGAGACGAGGTCTCGAAGAAGAAATGCCTGATACGGAAGATCACTGACTCGGACCTTTAGTGATGTGGGCTATGATGTCTCATCAGGGAGGTTGGCAGCTGGAATCCACCAGCCACTTCATGGGATAAAGGGGAGTAATCTCTGGTAAAAGTTTAGGGCCTCAGAAACCTGATGGCTGCTTGGAACTGGAGTCAACTTGAATGCCATGGGTGTTCTAGTGCATCATGGTGAAAACGTTAGAGACACAGCCTGGTGCACTTGGGAGAGGGCTGTGTGCGCTGTGGAGTCACAGTTTTGACTCCCAGCGACTTTGTGTGACAGAAGTGTCCCACAGGACTCCCAGGCTGCACCTTTCCAGATCACATGCCATTCTCCTGAGGATATGCTGCTGAGTTTGAACTCTTGGGTAGCAGCAAGTCCATAATCATTGTACCACCAAGACCCATCAGCTTGGAGATGAGAAATCATGCTACAGACAGTATAAACCTAGGGAGTGGATTTCTTCATGAATTAAATGCAGAGGTAGGACGGAGGGATCAGTAACCCTGAGGTCACCTGTCAGAGCCACGTGCAGGAGGGAGTGGGATGGGGGAGAGCGGTGAGTAGGGACTGTGATGCCAAGAAGGCTGGCCAGGAAGAGGAGAAATGTGGACACAGGGTGTGTGGCCTCCAGACCCATTTAGCCCCTGGCATTCAGCGACTCAATCAGGGTGGCAGAAGAGCATATGGCCCAAACCAAGAGCTGTTTCTGCACTGGTGACTCACCTGTGAAATCCATTAACTTTGTAAAATTAAAAGAAGGAAAAACCGTTGAGTGGCCACTGATGTGGCTTTTTCAGAAGGGCTTTTCATTTTATCAACAGCGATGGCCTGCTGTCTGGCTGTGCCAACAAGGCCTTTCAAAGTGCTCAGTTCTGGGTCCATTTCATCACGACCAACATGGGTCATTTACAAATGCCTTCAGGAATGACACCAGTGCAGGTACAGGGCAAGGACAGGCCATTAGCTGAGTCCTGAATGCACACGACACTATAAACTACAGAGTTATAGAGAAAAATGCAAAAAAAGTGATGACTGTGGAATCAATAAAACAAAAGCCTGGAGGGGAAATGACTTAAGAGGAGAAAAGGAATTTAATGCCCCCATCCAAACTGCAGAAAAACAACAAGATTTTAAATAACTACCCCGCCAGGAACAGGCCAAGGCCAGATGGCATGTGGAGCCAGCCCCAGTCACTTGTACTAAGCAGATCTGTTTATTCTGAACTCCCAAGCCAGGCCTGGGTAGGTAGGGCCAGGCCCAGGCTTTAAATTGAGATGGAAAATGGTTGTGGGCGTAACTGGCAAGGAGCTTTTTGCAGGAGAGTTTTTCCTGTCTTTGGATGGGAAGAGTACTATATTTATCTTCGGCAATGTTAACTCTTTCTCAAGAGATTTCCTTTTAAAAGCCACACGTCTACAAATGAGCATGGGACTGATGGTGTCAACTCATTCTTGAACTGTGGCCGCTCACTCACTCTGTGTTGCAGAGTTGGAACCGACTCACAGCTGACCCTCCAGTAGGCTTCAGAGGCTGTAAATCTCAAGGGAGAGGACCCATCTTTCTCCTGAAGAGCAATAGCAGATTCGAACCACCAGACACCAGAGAAGTGCTGCCTCTGGGTTAGCCATGCATCTCCCTATGGACTGAGCCATGAGAGCTTCACCTTAATTATGGTACGTGTACATATCTGTAAATGTAAGACTGTGAGTGTGCATATACATTGTAGATATATGCATGCACATACAGACGCATATATGTTGTTGTTAAGTGCTGTCAAGTCGTAGGCGACCTTATGAACAAAAGTCCTCAACACTTGTGTGACTTTCATCCTCTCTCCAGGTTCACAGGGTTTCTGGAGGCAAACTATTTATGGAAGTGGATGCCACTCCTGCTTCCAAGCTTGTTTCAACTGGGGAGCTCCACCAAACACTGTCCACTATGGGTACGCATTAACGCATCTGATACATCAGTGTCAGTGTTCTGCTTCACAGCAATCACAAGTTACCTCTGTACGCCAAGTGGACATACTAGGGATATACAACCTTTGGCTTGGTAGTATATATACTATTTGGAAATATATATACTCATACACATTTATATGTATACATACATACATTGAAGTGTGTGTTTTTATACAGACACATGCACACTTATTGTTGCTAGGTGTCATAGCGTCAACCTTGACTCACAGCAACCCTATAAACACCAGATCTAAACCTTGCCCGATCCCTTACAATCCCTGCCCTCCTTACAATCTCTGATATACCTGACCCCATTGTTACAGTCCCTGTGTCCACCCATCCTGACCCTCGAGGGTCTTCCTCCCTTTCTTTGACTTTCCACTTTTCTTTGCATGATGTTTCTTCTCTTAAGGACTGGTTTCTCCTGACAACATGCCCAAAGAATTCAAGATGATTCAATTTCCTTGCCTCCCAGGAGCACCCTGGTTGCATTTTCCTCCAAGAGAGATGCGTCAGTTCTTTTGGTAGTCTGGGGGATATTCAATATTCTTCTCCAACACCACAATTCAAAGGCATTGATTCCTCTATGTACAGGAAGCAACCGAAAAAACTAGGGTTTGGATTTAGTGCACCTTAGTCTTTAAGCTTCAGCACTTTGGAGAGGTACTTGACAGATGACTTTCCCAATGTAATTACATCATTTCTTTCTTGACAGCTGCGACCATGGGTTTTGACTGTGGATCCAAGTAAAATATGTATATGTACATACATAGAGAGGTATGTATATGCATGCAAACACAGACCTGCATACATATATCGATTTATTATTGTTGTTATTATGTGCCGTCAAGCAGACTATAACACATAGCAAAACCTAAACAATTGCTCTGACCCTTGTCTTATTCTAAGCCAATCTCACCATCTCTGACACACATGTATTTATATACACATAAAAGAGTGTGTGTACGTGTGTGTAAACGCACATACACATATGTAAAACAGTTGCCATTTTTACATTTCATGCCCAGTTCAGGGACATTAAATTCCTCATCATGTTGTAGAAATGTCTCTACTACTTGCTGAAGTGGTCCCTTAAGTGACTATTGACAATTAAGCAGTTTTGTTCCTCTCTCTGAGGATGAACTACCATTGTTGTTATTACATGCCATCGAGTCACTTGCAGCTCATAGCGATCCTATCTACCACAGTCCTAAACCCTGCTCTATCCTGTGCCAGTCACATTGCCTCTGACACACCCATCCCGATTACTCCAGTCACTGAATCAATCGACCCCATAGAGGGTCTTCCCCTCTTGTGCCATCTCTCCACCCTCCCAAGCATGATGTTTCTCTCCAAGGACCTGTCCCTCCTTGCAACATGCCCAAAGTATGTCAGATGAAGCGCCAGAATCCTTGCCTACAAGGAGCAGCCTGGTTTAACCCTCTCCAGGTTGAATTTGTTTGTTTTCTTGGCAGTCCAGGGTACATTCAATACTCCTCTCCAGCACCACAGCTCAAAGACATCAATTCTCCTTCTATCCTCCCTAGTCATTGTCCAGCTCTCTGATGCATAACAAGTGATTGCAAAGACCATAGCCTGTATCAGACACACCTTAGTCTCCAGAGTGACACCATTGCTCTTCAACACCCTGGAGAGGTCCCTGACAGCAGACTTTCTCATCGCAATACGTGTTTTGATTTCCTGGCCACTGGTGCCAAGAGTGAACTACCATAAAACTAGGTTAAAAAAAATCTCCAATAGCTCACAAAGAAAATGCAGAGCTATTCAGGGGCAATGTGGGTGCACTTCTGGACACACACACAAAACAGGAACAGGACTGATATTGCCCGCCTTCATAGGGCTGCTGGAGAAAACAGTTTGGAAATGTAATTCTTGGCCTGGAGGGCAGTACTCCCCGTGTGCTAGGGAGCCCCGGTGGGTCCAGTGGGTTGAGTGCTGAGATGCTTACTTAAAAGGTCAGCAGTTTGAACTCACCAGCTGCTCCCTGAGGTAAAGATGAGACAGTCTTCTTCCATAAGACTGATTTCCTCACCCTGTAATTACATTAATCCATGGCAATTAATCTTACAAAACAAAATGCCTATGAATGATTGTGGGAAAACCCAACATGAACTGTAAACTTTCACTTAAAAATTTAGGAGGGAGTGGGGGAAGAATGACACCTCACCAACCCAGTGGAGGGCTGTTAACGAGCTGGGGTCAGCTCACCAGCAATGGTGACTGTCATGACCTCTTTTAAGCCGTGCAGCGGTAGCTGGTTTCGAAATGGTGGCTGCAGGTCGAGGTGTACAACAGCAAAAGAGCGGGAGAACAATGTAGACACAGCTTCACAGGGTGGAACTGAGCATCTGAAGGAAGGCGCTCAGAGACCTCCTGTGTTAAGAGTGGTTGTTGTTATGTGCCATCGAGTCGCTTGCAACTCATAGCGACCCTATGTACAAGAGCCCTAAACGCCGTTCTATCCTGTGCCAACCTCGCCGTCTCCAACACACTCACTCCCACCACCCCACTCACAGAATCAATCCATCTCATCGAGGGTCTTCCTCTCCTGCGCCGTCCCTCCACTCTCCCAAACATGATGTCTCTCTCCAAGGACCAGTCCCTCCTTGCAACATGCCCAAAGTATGTCAGATGGAGCTTCAGAATCCTTGACTCCAAAGAGCATTCCAGCTTTACCTTCTCCAGGACAAAGCTGTTTGTTCTCCTAGCAGCCCATGGAATATTCAACACTCTTCTCCATCACCACAGCTCAAAGGCATCAATTCTCTTTTCCCCAAACCCCTGACTACAGGAGTGGGGTGAACCCTGGGCCCATCACATTTTCATCTCGAATCTTCCACAAGGTATCGTTGGTGGGAGGGGACAGGAGACTGAGACTAGAAGGCCAGGCTGGGAGCCAGACGCTGGAGAACTGGACGGAAGAGCGCAACGAGGACCTCCTCTCAGAAGGCAATCAGGTCAAAGACCATGAGATAATGTCCTGCATCTTTTTTTAAAAAATATCTTTTTTTACTTTTTTTCTTATTGTGTACCGTCAAGTCCAATCAGACTGGCACAGGAGGAGAATGCCCGTCCCTCTCCTGGTGAGCATCTTGCGGATTCAAACCATGCACCTTCAGGATTTTATGTGGTGCAGCTTCATGCCACAAGGCCACTAGAGCTCCCGAATTTCCTGCGTCTTTTAAGTAACAAAGAATGATGTGTGACAAGCAGAACCTTATGACAATGTAAAGAGCAGCATTATGTGTGTGTATCTATCCACCTACCTACCCATCTATCTATCTCTCTATCTATTCCTAAGAGTGCTCGCTCTAGAATTTAAAAAGTTGCTAAAACCCACTGCCTTCAGGTTAGTTACGACTCACAGCAGCCTCACAAAACTGGGCAGAACTGCCCCCTGCAGTGTCCAAGGCTGTAATTTCTCAGGTGTAACCCCCGGGTCTTCACCCCTTGGCGTGGCCAGTGGCAGGTTCAAACAGCCCCGCTTCTGGTCAGCCGCTGAGAGTTGATCCCCTGGGCCGTGACGTGTCCACAGGGGCGGCTGCTGTCCAGTGCGGTCCAGATGGCTCTTCCTCACAGCGGCTGTACATACAGCAGAACAGACCCCTGCCCGACCCTGCGCCAGCCTCACAGACGCCAGTCCATCTCCTTGGGAGACTTCCTCTCATTCATGGAGCCGCCACTTTTCCAAGCATGGTGTCCTTCTCCAGGAACTGGCCTTCCTGACCGCACACACACACACACAGGCTGTGAGAATGATTGTGCATTGCTGAGCTGCCCAGAGCGGGAGCTAAGTCAAGCACAGTGGCCCTCCGTCCACCCAAGAATAGGTGAGGTAAGACTCTGTGGTCATTCCACATGCACTGCTTTAAAAATGAAGGTCAGCCCCTCAGCTACTCAATCCATTCAACTCTCGTTCTAGCAAGATTGTTGCTGTTGTTTGCTGTGTACTATGGAGTCGGCACTGACCCATAGCTGACCCGCCAGCAGGTTTTCAGAGGCAGCTAATCACATGGGAGGAGACTGTCCATCCTTCTCCCACAGAGCAGCTGGTGGCCTCGAACCATGTGCCTTTGGGATTTCAGTGGAGCTTCTTACCACTAGGCCACCAGAGCTCATAATATCCTTTAATCACTGGGCATTTCATTTATGTGTTTACTTAACAAACACTCATGCAATAGGTTGAGGCAGCCTGGGTGAAGAAGGGCAGGCAGAGGACAGAAATGGGACAGAAGGGGCTGGACGGGCTGTCACAACAGCATCTGCTCACGCATGGAAAGGAGCTCTGCGTGACCTGCCGGGCCATACCTGAGCAATGACATCTGAAATTGAGGCACATCCCACCAGGAAACTGTATTTGTGTTTTAAGAGGATGCCAGCATGGGTCCACGCCTGCCAGAAACAAAAGAATCTGTCATTAGACACACGTTTCTGGATAGGACAACTGGCTGGGAGTTCCTGAGGCAAAGTGTACCTCCACAATGCATAGCAGTATCCCCCTGGTCCAGCCCCTGGTGGGTCAGATGACTGTGACCACGTCTGCTGGCTGGGCTTGCGTCAGGACTGGAAGTGGCCTTGGCTAGCGGACAGCATTATTTGGTACTGGTTCCAAGGAGACCCCTTCAGAGAGGTTACAATCACAGCTGAGAACCAGAATCCTCATGTACAACAATGCACATGTTGCAACAGTGCAAATCAGCGGAGATTCAGCGAGGCCACTCCTATACAGCCCAACTACAGACAAGCCATTACTCAGCACGTTCAGCAGAGGCGCTCCATGCATTTCTGCCTGGCCTCATCTTCTAGGGAAACTATGTTCTCTGGCTCACATGTCCACTACTTGCAGAACGTTGATCTATTGGGGGGAAGTGCTGGTAACAAAATGAGACGGACCAACACACACATTTAAAAAGCGAGCCTGAGGAAAGGGCCGTCTTCCAGCACTGCTCATTACTGGGGACACTTGTCTCTGTTAAGATTATCCAGGACATATGTAAGCAGAAGACATTATCATCTGACCACCTTCATGCTATAAAGGTGATATAAGTGAGGTGTGATTTTTTTTTTTTTCTTTGCAAGTGAGTGGCTCTGAGCTAAATGAGCAAAGCTGGTCGTCAACATCACAAAATCCGCTCAGTATGTTCCCTAAAGCCGAGGGTGTTTTTAATCACAGAAGTAATAAGCGTGTGGAAAACCTAGGCTGACCCCTTGATCCTGAATATAGTAGGAAAGGACTTCTTCCCCTGGAGCCCAGTTTTTGAAATGGGCCCTCTTGTCACCCACCAGGACCTGTGACAAATGCAGACAAATCCCGTGATGTGACGCCCCGAGGCGGCCCGGGGGGGGGCCCTCCCCACTCACCATGGCATCCATGAAGGGGAAGGCAGCGAGGTACAGGAAGGCCCTTCTTGTCTTACTCCCCACTGACTCATCCACGTGGTGCAGCTTGTTGATGATGTAGTAGCCTAAGTCGCTGTATGCTGAAGAGGGTCAAGAAACACACATGGCGATACTCAGAAAATCATCTCTTCAAGGGCCTGCTATCACAAGAGTTAACACATGTGAGAGGCAGCATTTGTATGCTGTTGGAAAATTTGGAAATTCAGGGAAGCAGACAGAAGGAAGTGACCGATAACCTCATCTATCCAAGTGACTCTGGTTCTCCCTGACCAGGTCGGTCTTTCATGGATGTGTAAGGGGCCCTGGTGGTGCTCTGGGTTGAGTGCTGGTCTGCTAACTGAAAAGGCTGGAGGTTCAAATCCATTAGTCAGCCCTCAGGGGAAAGCTCAATCTGTCTTCTCCTCTACAGATTTACAGTCTTGGGTGGAAATGTGAAATGGTGCAACCATTATGGAAAGCAGTTTGGCAATTCCTCGTGGCTGACAGGACTGACAGGCCCCAGCTCCCAGCTGGAAACAAAGGAGGGCCCTTCAATGATTTAGATCCTCCCAGAAGAGCTGTGGGTGAGCATTAACATTACTGGTAAGTATATTCATTTTCTCCTGGACACAAGAGCCTACTATTTGGTCCTAAAAGCTTTCTGAGGTCCCAACTCTTCTCACTATTTCTTAGTTGTTGGAATTGATGGAAAACCTCATAAGCAGCTCCTTACTTCACCTCTGCCTTGCATGTGGACTTCCAAGCTGTAAAACAACCCAGTGGTAGATGGAATTTGGTCCAGGACTTAAGAACAATAAATGACACAGTTGAACCTCTATATCTTGTGGTTCCTAACCTTTATACTATCATAGACAAAGTGCTAGTCAATAAGCCTTTTATTTTAAGAACTACCTTCCCTCTGTAACTTGTTTTGTGTCACTGTTAGAACCTCTACTTGGAATATTATTACTTTTAATTTTTGACTCATGTACTTTTAACTTGTTAGTTAAATTTGTGTCTTTTAGGCTGCAATAATTTCATGGTACATCTTCAAGGATATGAACATGTATGGTTAAGCACAATTGATAACAGTGCATCTAAATTCCAAAAGCAATCTCCACAATAGTCTACATATTTCCTATCGCCAAAGGGGCCCTTTAGAGTAGTGAGAGAAGATCTTCACCCTCAAACCTACAGAGTCCCTTTTCAGCAGGAAGTAGCTAAGAGAGTACGCCGTCCCCTTTCCCTTATGAATCAGGGTGAAGTTTCTCTCAGGGAGGAGTGATAGAGAATGGCAAGGGACACACTGACAAAGGAGATGAATTAAAACTGGCTTTGACAAGCATTGTGGCAATGGACAATTAAAACATACTTTCAAGGGGAAAAAATAGAGGAACGAACTGGGAGGAGGGTAGAGAAAATAGTGCAACAATGAATGAATGGAAACCCAAAATCTCTGTAAATGTTCATTAAAATTAAAAAATTTAATTAAAAAAAACCTGGGAAAGGAAATAAATAATCCGGCAATATCATTTGAAAGCTGGGAATAGAAATAGCATTTAGAGCTGTGGCATAAATGGACTTATGTGGGCATACTGCTATTCCCCGCTCTGCCCAAAGGCTGAGGACGTCAAGGTGCTGAAATCCTTACCCCACATCTGTGGATGTGGTCTGATGACACAACCTCCCACAGTGCAGTCTAGCGTTGTGTTAATGAGGCCATGCCCTGATGGAGGTGGAAGGGCACAGGGCAGTGGAGCTGGGACAGAGAACGGAGGGCCTCTCTCTTGGGGCACAGGGGTACGCCTGACTAGTGACAATGCTGTGGACAGCAGAACTGTGTACTGAGGTCAGAGGGTGGAGAGAGGGGGAGAGGGATGGAGAAACAGAACACAGAGAGAGAGAACCAGAGACAGACAGACTCCCTTCACATTAGTCGTCTGGGTAGTTCAGAGCAGATGGGACACGTGGTTTGAGCCTTCCAGGCTGGGTCTGATGTTGGCTTGTGCTGCCCAGGATTACAGACTGAACTGCTAACCCCACACCTATGGTTGTGCTCTAAATATGTAACAAGCCTTCAACAACCAATCTACTGCCACTCTGAAAAGGCCATACTAGAGAAGGAGGGTTCTAAACTAATCACTTCTGCGTTGTAAAGAGATCAGAGTGGACACAGAGGCAGGCGTGCAAACTGAGGGAGGCGGTGCCACCCGAGGAGACCCACGGAGCAAAGGACCAAGGAATGCCAGCCAGGAAGGCATGGGCAAGGCTGAGCCTGACCCGGAATTGAACCTTCAGAGTGGTGAGAAAAGAAACCCCTGTTCCTTAAAGCTGCCTGCTGTGGTCTCTGTGCTTCAACACTGCAGGAAAGGAAGACAATCAGAAATGTCACGATCCATTTCACTCCTTTCCTCTGTAAACACCCCAACTTAATACAATGTCCAGGGAGCGCTGGGGCTGGGGGGGGGCGGGCATGGTCCTTCGGGAGCCTGAGCTGTACTTCTACCCCAAGACCGCACCTCGCTGATGGTCTGAATCTACTAGGGTGCTGCTGTCCAGAAAGGTGGGTGATCTCCTCCCCTGTGATTCGGCCTCAGGAACCCACTGGAGCCACCAGTCAGAACGGGACAATGAGTTCAATGAGTTTAGAGACTATGCTATTCAAGGAGCCCTGGTCAAGGTGTGGAGTGGGGTCTGTGTGTGTTTGGACTGTGGTGTAAAAGGTCAGCAGTTTGGACGCACCCACAGCCTCTTGCCTGCTCAGGTTTCAAATTCAACAGTTCAATGCACCGGCGCATGGCTGACCTTCCAGTCACTGTGAATCACACGGGGAAGACTGCCCAACTTCCTCCCTCTGTGGACTCAAACCACCGGCCTGTGGCTTGTCAGGACAACTCCTTACTAGACCATCAGAGCTCACTCATCCTGCAGTCTTGGAAAACTCACAGAGGGTGGCTGTGAGTCAGACGCTCACCTCCATCTCCACCAACCCGTGGGTCTGGTTTTTCCTGGTTTTCTTAGAATTGATTTGACCCTCCAGGCTGCAACAATGGGCTTCAGTAAGGAGCTTGTGAGGGCAGCCTGGGACTGTGTAAGGTGGCTGTATGCTGTGTGTAGGGTCATAAGGAGTCACAGTCAACTGACAGGAACCTAACAACAACGATACAACGTTTCATCCAAACCTTCAAATGTGGCCTCTGTACAGGGCGACACTGAGCCCTGACAGACAAGTGCTGTGCTGACTGCAAGACGGCATGGCCTTTCCCCGAGCCTGAGCCCCCGGCTGGGTACGCTCGACGCCATCCCTGGGTATCTGGGGGCCGTGGGTCCCCTGGGCACCCAGCCATCTTTGCCTCTTTCTCCCAGGTGTCCTTACTTGAGGAAGGATGCGATTAGAACTAGAAGCTTCTGTGCTGCAGGAACTGGAATGCATCCCAGCAAGGGCTCCGCCCAGCCTCTCCCCTCCCCCACGCCCGCTAGCTAGTTCCAGCCAGGGCGCTGGCTGGGGGTAATTTGTTTAAGATGCTTTGCAATAAAGGCCATAATTAGCTGGCTAGCTGCCTTAGCAGCATGTAGGAACCTTCAGCTTCTACAAATGGCCTTACCAAAACTGTTCAGAAGCAGCTGGCATTCCTTAAGAGCAGAAGGTTGTGCACTATATTAAATGGGATTTCTGCACAGCTGGATTGAGGCGGGTGGGCTCGAGGACCCTGGCCTGACCTATTTACAGATAGACAGTGACTTTAGCGAGCTGACCAGCCGCAGGGCGTGGACTCGGGTATGTGTGTCAGAGGGAAGGTGTGCTCCCTGGGGTTTTCAGTGGTGGATTCTTGGAAGCCTTTCTTCTGAGGTGCCTCTGGGTAGACTCAAACCTTTAACCTTTTGGTTTGCAGTGTGTTGACTCCCTGTGCCAAGGCCATGCCTGCTCAGCTCCCCCAACCTCAGCCAATGTGGGTGGCGAGCCATTTCCTAATCACTGCTGCTCGACAGTGACCAACACTTTTTGCAAAATGCCAGGAAATACTAACATTGACTGAAACAACACTTTCTCTTTCTCTCTGTCTCTATTTCTCTCTCTCTCTCTCTTTTCCCATGTGCCCTGAGGTAAAAGATTTAAAAAACGATTTCTCCCATCTAGTAACAGGATGAGATATGTGCACTTTACTAAGAGGCAAACTTGAGAAGCTTTATTCTAAATCAAGGGTTGTGGGAGGGCAGTGCTGTACGATGGTGATAGGATGGTATGAATAAGTTCAGAATTCTATATATATGTATCAGTTATAAAACTATGTTGTTGATGTTGTTGTTAGGTACCGTCTAGTCATAGACGACTCATAGCAACCCTTCGAACAAAAGGCCTGAGCACTGTTCATAGAGTTTCCAGAGACAAGCCATTTTGGAAGTGGATGCCACTCCTGCTTCCAGGCTTGTTTTAATCGAGGAGCTCCACCAAACACTGTCCACCTTGGGTGACCATTATCACATTTGACACATTAGTGTCACAGTGTTTAGCATCACAGCAACCATGAGTTACCTCTGTACAGCAATGCACCCCAGTGACCACTCCCAGACAGGGAGGCAGTCTTGGAGGTGACTGGCTATCTCCTAGATCTGCGTAATAAAGTGCTTATGGATACTGCAATTGTTGGTCTTATTGGTGATTTGGCTACAGAAAGAACCTCTTGCGTCCAGTAACAGCGGCGTGGCTCGCCCACAGTTTCTGGAGAAGAGCCTGTGCCTGCAATAGATGCCCAATAGCCAGGTTGGGGGACGGTCACCACCAACTGCAAATGTCTCAAGGCTAGGAAGATGCCCATCTTGCCAGTGAGGTCCAAAAGTGGTGGTGGGGAAAGGCAGGGAAAACACGCAGGGGCACGCTTCAGAAATATTTCCTGCACAGCTCAGACCACTGCATGAAGTGAATCATGCGAAGTTCTGGTTCCCGGTGTAGCAGTTATGGTTACACTACACTTGGGGTCTGTCAGGTGTGCAGTGCTGTCGTCTGTGGCCCTGTGGACCCTGTGAAGTCCAGATCTGAACCCTGCTCTATCCTGCAGTGTCCTCACGACCTTGGCTGTGCTTGAATCCACTGCTGCAGCCA